TCTCCAGAGGAAGAGGTGGTAGCTCACCCCCCATCTGCCCTGTACCCGTCCAGCTTAGGATCCCCTTCTCTCCCTCCCCTCTCCTCCAATCTTCTCTCTTCTCCCCTCTTCCCCTTTTCTCCCCTCCCCCCATCAGCAGGAAGTTGTAGTGATAAATGGATTATGAAGAACTAGGAGCCAGGACTATGCAGGTGATGTTGAGCTCGGAGAGGAAGAAATAAATCTCTCTAAAATCTTTATAACTTTAGTAAGAGGCCTATCTTTCTTGGTAAGTCAATTTTTTTTTGTGTCAGTAGTAGGTCCTGAACTCAGGGCCTGGGGGCGCTGACCTTTTAACTTTTTTCTCAAGGCTGGCACTCTACCATTTAAGCCACAGCTCCATTTCCAGATTTTTAATGGTTAATTGGAGATTAAAATGAACGGACTTTAGACTTTATTGTGCAGGCTGTGGCTTCAAGCCTGATTCTCAAGTCTCAGCCTCCTGAGTAGCTAGAATTATAGGCATAAACCAGTTGGTGCCCAGCTGGTAAGTCACTTTTAAATATGAGGACTTATTTGTCAGAAAGAAAGGGGATCCTTTTGGCCAGGATATTTTTTAAACGCTACTGTCTGCATAGGAGACCGTGTCTCCCACATTTCCCCTCTGAACACAGAACAAAACCTGTAAAGTCTTCTTCTTCAGTAGACACAAGGGACATTGTCACCCTACCTTTGGCCCCATAGATCGTGTACAGGACGTTCTGCACAGAGAGCCCAGGTGGGGTGGGGGTGGGCTGATGTATGTAGCCAGCAGCCTAAAGACACCTGGGCGTGGAACAGAACTGTGCCCCACGACCACATCTCATCTCCTTTGGCGTTTTTTTTTTTTTTTAAACTCAACACCTCATCACTTTCATTCAAAATTAAAAGAAACGACAAGCAACCCGTTCAGCTTAGTTAGGGGTAATAGAATAACAAGGTGGTGTCACTGACTCCCACCTTCCTCGTTCCTGTTCTCGGCAAACAGATCTGCACGTGTCGGTGCAAGAGGAGGATCTTCTCCCCGGGCCGAGCCCCTTCTCCCGGCTTCCTGGCGGGGGGGGGGAGGCAGCACCTGGCAGGTGGTGGGCTTGGACTGCGGTGGGGGGTCCGGGCAATCAGCCCTCGACCACACGGAGTGCCGGAGGCTCTGCGCGGGGGTGCGCGCCGCGGGGCTCCGTCGCGGGGGCGGGGAAGGCGCCCCCTCCCGCGGACTTGACCGCAGCCCCTCGGGCTGGACCGACCTCCGCGGGAGGAAAACACGCTGCACAAACAAACGCACAGACTTCTCCACGTTGTCCGGCAAAGACAGCGTGGGAGGCACCAAGAGGGGGCGACCGAGTGGAATTCGGCGAGGCCCACACCGCGCCCCGGGAGCGCACGGCGCGCGGCTCCACCCGCCCCGTCCAGGCTCGGGGCAAAGCGGGCGGCACATTCGCGTTCCGTTCCCCTCGGTCTCGGCGAGTATTCGGCTTTGCTCCTCTGTAGTAAACAAAAGTGTGACCGCCGCCTCCTCCACGCTGGTTTGCCTCCTAGCAATCCAAACACTGAGAGGGCGAGAGACTCTCAGAAACACTCGAGAATCACCAGAAAAGAACAAGCGATCAGAAAAAAACAAATAAAAGTGTGCGTGCAGAAGAGATAAAAAAAGAGAAAAACACCCCACTACCCCCCCCCCCACCAAGTCACTGCCGCCTCCCGGAGGAAAACCAGCCCCCGCCCAGGTCAGCGCTTATTGGCTATATGGGCAGCGGTACCGAGCGCCTATTGGTCAACGTCAATGTCAGTCCGGGGCGGGCCGGCGCGCGCGCGTCGCCGCGGGTGTGTGTG